AGTTACTGTTGCCCGCCATCATGTGGATGCTGAGACTTGAACCCAGGCCTCTGCAAGAGCAGCAAGTGCTCTTAACTGCTGAGCCATCTCTCCAGCCCCTTAACTAATTTTATTTTTATTATATTTGTTTATTGATTTTTTTTTTTTTGAGACAGGGTTTCTCTTTGTAGCTCTGGCTGTCCTGGAACTCACTCTGTAGGGCAGGCTGGCCTCAAACTCAGAGCTGCCTACATCTGCCTCCCAAGTGTTAGGATTAAGGGCATGGCCCACCACTTCCAAGCTAACAAATTTTTAAAATCAATTTTGCTCCTGTTTCTTGTGTTTTGCTAACACAGTCTAATCTGAAAAAAATCTGAAATCCAAAACACTCCAAAATCTGACATGTTTTGAGTGACAACATGATCTCAACAGGTTGCAGAGTGGCCTTTGCAGGTCCCTCAGATGGTCTAAACCTCTATCAGGCAGCTCAGCTGGGTTCTGCTTCTTCCAGGCAGCTTGGTCTGGTTTCAGAGTCTTCTCAGCTTTAGCTCTCTGAGAGTCTCGGGTCTAACTCAGCTTTTGTTCATCCCAGAGGGGCTCTCAACTTTTACTGTTCATGGCGAGGAGGGGCTAGTGAATCTGGCCGGTTTCAGGTACCAACGGAGGCTATTTTGAGTCGTCTACCTTCCATTTAAGGAGCTTCCTTGCAAGACGGAGCGTTTCGATCTCAGAGGACACTGTTAAACACAGTCTCCAAAGACTGTACGCCTGCAGCACTGTCGGGGATGGTAGAGCTTTTAGGAAGTGGGGCCTAGGAGAAGGAAGCTGGTCACTGGTCCTCGAAGGGATGTGGGACCCATCCTCTCTGCTCTCCCGCCTCTGAACAGAGCTGCTCCTCCGTGGGCTCTCACGTGCTTCACTGTGCAGCCCAAGAGCCCAGAGACTGCGGCTGAAACCTCTGAAGCCCCGAATGGACAAACCTTTCCCCTGCGGACCACCTTGGGGCTGGAGAAGGGGCTCCGTTGGTGACTGCTAACCGGCCTGCATGAAGCCCCGATCTGATCGTGAGTCGGGTTGTGGTGGTGCACACCTGTAACCTCAGCACTTGGGAGACTGAGGCAGGAGATTGCGCTGATTCTGACAAAGAATGACTGGACTGCTGGGTGAGACCCTGTTTTAGGAGCTGAAGCAATGACTTAATGGCTCAGAATCCACAAGGAGGCTCACAGCCCATGTGACTTTAGTCCCAGGGGATCCACACCGAGCTCTTTAGTCCACTTGCTTTAATTCCTCTGGGATAACTTGCTGTGTACACAGCTTCAGTTCTGTCCTGGTGCCTAGCTCCTTTCTTGCCTGATTTCTCTCTATATCTACTGCCCCTTCTAAGTTCTATCTTAATTCTTTCATCTTAATTCTGCCTCATCTAGGTCCTTTTCATCTCACTCTTACCCAGCTAGTACTTCCCCATCTGACTCTTCATCTTCCATCTCGTCCACATGTTCTCGCTGTTCAAAATCCTCCTTATCCCTCTACGTTCTCCCCAATCTCTGTCCTCCACGTCTCTCTTAAGTCTCCCAGGAATCCACTTATAAACCCAAGCAATAGCAAATCCTCTGGTTGAGCAACGTTACCAGGCTTGAATTCTATGGGGTCATAAAGGTAGGGGGTGGGAGGAGGTAAGACAGGGGAATCCATGGCTGATATGTAAATTAATTATAAAATAAAAATATTTTTTAAAAAAGAATTTTCCTAGGCAGCGACTGTCAGGCCTTCTTTTATAACCCCAAATGGAAGTGGTAAAAGAGGTCAACTGAGTGCTAATGACCGGTTAGTATATCAAAAAGGGGATCTAGGGCTGGAGAGATAGCTCAGAGGTTAAGAGCACTGGCTGCTCTTCCTGAGGTCCTGAGTTCAATTCCCAGCAACCACATGGTGGCTCACAACCATCTGTAATGAGGTCTGGTGCCCTCATCTGGCATGTAGGCATACATGCAGATAGAACACTGTTCTAAATAAATAAATCTTTAAAACGGGGGGGGGGGGGTATCTATGTGTTCAGTCTATATTCCGAAAAGTGGTTAGGTAAGAAGTAAAGCTATTACTTAACGTCCACCTGACCTAGGTGGTGTCTCCTTGTGGAATTTACCTTGAATCAGGAGACTAGGATGTGGTCATCTGGACTGTTATTTCTGATAGTCCTTGAAAGTGGCTAAGGGAGATATCTGTGTCCAGTGCTAAAAGGGGAGAAACGGATGGGCTGGGGGGAAGGAAGCCTTTCCTGAAGCTGTTCTCCAAATACCTTGAATGTATATGTCCAGAGAGTGATCAGTCCACACTGTTAGCAATTCTTAGGGAAAAATCAACTGGGAAAACTATGAAGGCACACATGATTTTCATAACAAGACAGCTGATATGATGTATAACAAGACAAATAACACCAAATGCTCCTTGGACTTTGGCTTCCTCTGAAGGAATTTCTTGATCTCTTCAGGTAGTGGCTTTGCCATAACCAGCTGAGTTCTTATAATAGTCCTGCGGCCCATAGCACCTAACTCTAGTTCCAGGGGGTCTGATGCCCTCTTCTGGCCTCAGAAAACATAAGACAATTATATAGTGCACATACATATATGTGGGCAAAACACAAAACAAAAACTTCATAAAATACAAAATAATAAAATCGGATATAATTCTGGTCCCAGGTATTTTTAGATAAGGGGTCCTCTGTCCATTCTGTTTCCTTTTTGGTTGGTTGGTTTGGGGTTCCTATGTATGTATGTGTATTTGAGGCAAGGACGTATTCTGTAGCCCAGGCTGGCCTGCAACCATGTAGCCCTGTCTGGTCTTGAACTTGAAACAGTCCTCCTGCCTCAGATCCCAAGTGCTGGCTGGGACCACAGGTGCAAACCCGGAACCCAAGGTTGGTTTTCTGCTGTACTCCATTCTGTATTAACACTCTTAACCACTGACCATTTCTCCTGGCCCTTGATCAGATTTCAGCTGCCATCTGCTACCTGAGCTGGTAGGTAGTGAAGGGACTCGAGCCTACTCATGTGGCTCTGGCAGGCCTTGCTCTTCTCCCCAGTTCCCTCTGCCTTGCTAAAAACCTTTAGATTGCATTTCTGAAGTTAGCCCCCAAGGTGTATTCTCTTATTTGGCCACTTCCTCCTCCTGAGGCTGACTACCAAGGTCCAGCTATGAAAGTATTGAAGTCCAGCCATCAAAAGCCCCCTGTGGCCACCCTATTAACATGCCCAATCAAAATTAAATACTTCATCCTAACATGGGGTTTTCCCTTTTCCCTTTTGTTTTGTTTCTGCTTTTTGAGACAAGGTTTCTCTGTGTAGCCCTGGCTGTCCTGGAACTCACTCTGTAGCTCAGGCTGGCCTCAAACTCACAGAGAGCCGCCTGCCTCTGCCTCCCGAGTGCTGGGATTAAAGGTGTGCGCCACCACTACCCGGCTCCCCTTTTACCTTTTTAAACCTCATTCCCTATGTGCAACTTCTGTCTCCTCTATCCAGAAGCAGTCCTTTGTCCTCCGGGACAATTACCCCTGCCCCCTTTCCCTTCCCCTTCTCCCTCATCCTCTGTCTCCTTTACCCCACATCCCAGCCCATTCTATCACAGACATCCCCTTCTTCTCCTCTTAAAAATGACACCTGCAGGGCTGGAGTGATGGCTCAGTGGTTAAGAGCACTGGCTGCTCTTCTAGAGGTCCTGAGTTCAATTCCCAGCAACCACATGGTGGCTCACTACCATCTGTAATGAGATCCGGTGCCCTCTTCTGTACACATAATAAATAAATAAATCTTTAAAAAAAATGACACCTGCAAGGTCATTTGCTGCTCTTTTTCTGCTTGAGTCAGAAAACAGCCACTTTTTTCTTCCCCGTTTAATAAAGAATCTCTCTGTGAAAACAGGTGTTTGGGTGTGGTTTGTGTCTAATCTGGGGTTTCAGAGGAAGCCCCGCTGTGCAGGGTGCGTAGGGGTCTCCTTCAGGTAGATTGAATTTCAGAGTGCTTGTCTGTAGGTAGAAGCTCTGGTCTTATGACCTCTGCTTTCTGAGCTCACTGCCCATTATGGGATTTTCTACAAGGGATGTGCATTTGGTCTCTA